GCCCGTTGGGCGAGTCAGTACTAAGGGCCGTTGGGCAAGTCAGTACTAAGGGCCGTTGGGCAAGTCAGTACTAAGGGTCGTTGGGCAAGTCAGTACTAAGGGCCGTTGGGCGAATCCGTACTAAGGGTCGTTGGGCGAACCCGTACTAAGTGCCGTTGGGCGAATCCGTACTATCCTACGTGCCCGCTCGGCACCGTGCCCGCTCGGCACTCCTACCCCTAAAGTGCCCGCTCGGCACTCCTAAGTGCCCGCTCGGCACTCCTAAGCGCCCGCTCGGCACTGCCTACTCCTAATCTAGAGTGCCCGCTCGGCACGTTTATTTAAAGTGCCCGCTCGGCACTCCTAAGTGCCCGCTCGGCACTCCTAAGTGCCCGCTCGGCACTGAAAAAAAAAAAGGCCGCGGGCCCGAGCGCTTTTTCCTCCACCAGGATGTACCCCGTCGAGCTGGCCACGCTCACTCCTGCGGCAAGGTTGAACAAACGCTTGAAAAGCACGCGAAAAACGCAAAAACACGGTCCTCCCACCACGATGTCCAGCACCCCTCATGCCGCCTGACAAGTTCAAACATGGCCCAAAGCGGAAAAAAAAAGTGCCTTGCGCGGCTTTTTAGCGGCGGCTGCGGCGGTGGCGGCCTCTCAAAGAGGGACTCAAGAGACAACGGATGAGTCGATTCCCACCTCCAGCCGGAGCCTCTGGTTCTCCTCATAGAGTGATGTCGACCTGACAGCTCACTGCTGAGGAAAAAAAGGGGGACACCGCGCTCCTTGTACCCCTCGGTCTGCTCCGCCTTGAGCTTTGTGAAGAGCCGCTCCCGAGCTGGCCGCGGCTCTGGATGGTCGCGTCCTGTGATCTTCATCCGTTACCGTTGAAACACTTGACCGCGCATCGCGTGCTGTCGACAAAAAAAGGATAGCCCCTCGGCAACCCTCGGCAACCCTGGGCCCGGATCAGAGAAAATCAGCAACCCTGGGCAACCCTCGGCTCGCAACCCGTCGGGCCGAGGGGTTGCCGAGCCGAGGGTTGTCGAGGGTTGCCGAGGGTTGCCGAGGGTCAGTGGTTGTGTTCGCATGGAATCCCTTCTTCAACCTTTAAAGTTCTCATCGATTGCTCGCCACCAACGGACGGACTTCGACTCAACCAGCCCCTCATCCGCGCATCCTGCTGCAACAGGCAAAGAAGCTTGCGCTCCCTGCGGCGGAGAGCACCGGCGTTCCGCAACAAGCACTACGAGTCCTGCACGTGCCGTCCGGGGCCAGCGCTGTCCTCGGCGCCGATTCGCCAGCTCACACTCGTAGTACTCCTCCGGCACGCCTGCCGCACCTGGCCTTGCAGGTGCCGGCCGTCAGCCCGCGCCGCACAGCGCGCACTTGCCGTCCTGACGCCTGGAGGCACAACCTGTCCCACCGGACGCTGGAGCTCGCTTCGGCAGCACGGAGCCATCTTCTGTCCGACGCACGGCGTGCCCGGGCCTCCCCGCGGCCGCCGTGAAGAGCAACCTGCTCGCGTACGGCAACGGCCTCGCCACTGGCGCAAGGCGCACCGCTCTCTCTGTTATTTGTGAAATCTAAAACCGCTCACAGCGCATCCTCAGAGGTTGTCATTCAGCAAATGTGGATTCTGCGAAAATTTGGTGGTTTTGCGCGGCGTGGCCACAGCCCTTCTGCTTGCACTTCTGCAAGGGTTTTCAGCTTGCTTCAATATGCAGGCAAAACGGGTCCTAGTTGCATTCTGTGCGTCTCGGAAGTTTAAGTTGCCCGGGCTTATAGCGCTGTTTCTGGCCTTGTAAGTGCGTTTCTGTTGCGGAGCTTTGTGGCTCGAAAAGCCTGACAAGTGCTTTCTAAGCGCAACGGTGACTCAGAGCAGAAGGTTGGTTGGGTTGGAATTCTCTTGGCCTCATTTGCTGCATGTGAGCCTTGGGTTGCGTCTCCGCCAATCCTGCGTGGGGTGCTGGGTTAGGGCAGCCGCAGATAGGCCAGCGCATCGCACGGTCACGTTGACGGTGGCAGCTGCAGCCGCCGCACGCACTCGGGGGCAGTGGCTGCTGCTGCCGTGCGAAGGAACTCCGAACAGTCGTTCAACTTGCTTGCCACCGCATTGCGCAACCCGCAGGAGTTGGGACTAGCAGGTATTTGGTGCAGAATTCCCTGAGCCTGCTGATTTGCAGCTTGATAGGTCCACCTGGAAGCTACTTGGCAGAGCACAATGCTGAGGCCAGGCGCCGCCGGGCAAGGTAGTACTCTAGCTTTCCGGAACCGAAGAAGGGCGAGTGCAGCACCGACACGTCGCCCAGCAGCAGGTCCAGGTGTGGAGCCAGCCACGACTTACTGCCCATATACTTCAGCTGCATGCCGGCCTCGGCAAGACCGTGCCTGGCAGCAAAAAGAACGCCACACAACTCGCCGTCCGGGCAGGAATTGAGCCGCGCGGAGTAAGAAGCGCTTAGCTCCTTGGCCGACGCCTTAGCCACTGGACTAAGGCGTCGGCGAAAACATATGTAAAGATGTTTGAAGGACCAGTCACCGGCAACATCCCGGAGGTCCTGGAGAGGTAACGGAAGGCACGCACGTCACCGCAGGGCAGCTGGCCCTCGCTCTGACGCCCTACGCGCAAGTGGCAGACCTGGCCGTGAACACGGCAGCGTCCGGCAACAACGCAGCTGCCATCCAGTCCCTGGACGACCGGGTCACTGCAGAGCTGGCTTCGCTTCGAAGCTGGACAGCAGCGCACTGGCGCCGGCAATCACACCTCTGGCCACGGCAGCAGCCCTGGCCACCACGGACGGGCAGGTGGCTGCGCACGGGAGCAGCATCGCCGCGCTGCAGAGCTCGCTGACCACGGGTCTCTCCAACAAGGCAGACCAGTCGGCCTTCGACGTGCTGGAGGGCGTGGTGGCCACGAAGAGCACCCCGGACGGCGTGGACCTGAAGCTGTCCAACTACAGCACCACGGCGGCCATGAACGGCTCCATCGCCTCGGCCAACAACGCCACGCTGGCCACGGTGGCCGCCAACTACGGCCTCAAGACGGTGGAGCTGGCGGGGGACGACGAGAACTTCGTGGTCACGACGGACAAGAAGGACCTGGCTACCAGGGTGGCCCGCAGAGGCGGCCAGTGGAGCGACCACTTCAAGCAGGCCGCGTCGGCCTACAACGCGCGCCCCCACGAGGGAGGACGTCGAGAAACAGCCGGCCACCGAGTTCAGGGCGCTGCAAGACAACGCCGACAGGTTCCAGCACAACAAGGACTTGACGAACCGGCGCATGAAGGCCATAGAGGACGCGGGGGCGTTCGGGCGCCTACCAACGCGGCGAGGAGCTTCAACCTCCAGTACGGCAACGTGCAGCAGCTGCGGGACGTGGACTCCATGACCGTCCGGAGCACCGAAGGCCGGGAGACCCTGCTGAAGCTGGCGCTGCCGGCGCCCCAGGGCAGCGGCAACGCAGCGGCGCGGCTGACGAGGCGGGGCAGACCGGCTGCGGTGGGGCAGCTGGACGACTTCCTGGGGCCCAGGCGGCCCAGAAGCGATTCGGGCCGCTGACCTTCTTGAGCAGACTTGACGGAAGCAACATGCCTTAGCTTGTGGAGAGAAGTTTTAGCCCAAACACGACTTTGCGAATCTCGACCTTAGAGCGATCCCTGGACCCCGCCCAAAACGGCCATTCAGCTTGTTGATGCAAGCCTGACACCCATGGAACATGTGACGCCTCTTGTGACCTTAATTAAGTCCGCCCTGCTCCCACCTGCTGGCGCGATTTTTGTACACTCACAAAAGTTTCAGCACGTCCAGCTGCGCAATGATAGTCTCGCAACTCTTTGGAGAGTGTTTCTTCTCCTCGTGACGTCTGGCCCATGTCTTGTTTGTAAAGGACTGCCAGCCTTCAGACTCAATTCAAATCTGCAGCAACACATTTTGCAGTCCTCAAAGTTGTCCTTCTTCGCCTTGTCCTGCAACTTCAGGCCGCCTGCATCCTTTTTCTCTCCATAACGACATTGCGCTGCGATGAACTCGAGCTTACCAGTTGCCTTGCATCTCACAGGGATCAAAAGGTCGTTGTGAGCCGTTGCAGAATTCCGGTTGGACTTGATGGCCTTCCCAACGTCACTCATGACAGTTGCTTCATTGCCTTGGCCGCTTGGATATTCCACACCATCACTCCAGCAAACTTCGAACGGCTCCAAAACAGCTCGCAAGTGAATCCTCCGTAGGGTAGATCTCCAAAAAAGGTGACTTCAGCACTCAGGTTTCTTGCTATACAGTGAAGGCGGAAAACCGAGCCTGGCGCATGCGAGCCCCGGGCCTCCGTGTCGCTGTCCTGGCACGATTGCAACTGGCCAAATTTGCAACTGATGATTGGAGCGTCCTGCTGCGGGCTGGCGCGCAAAGCAACTCCGCCACGCCCAGCATGCCAGCGTCTCACCTCAAGAGGAGCTGAGAATCCAGGCAAAAAAAAAAAGCAACACCGAGACCTGGCGGACCAATTGCAACACACAACACAGGAGGCCCGACTCACACGCCCCAGTGCAACGGACGGCCTCTTCCAAGCCCTAAGGTCTGCTTTGGCCTGCGTCGCACGAAAACCGCTTGTTTACAAGAAGGCTGGTTCTGCTGCCTGGGCTGAATGCACTTCTGGCTGGGTGGAAGGGAAAAGACCAACCGAAGAAAGCCAGCCGTGGGAGCGACAAATAACTTCTCGCCAGGCCTCAAGTCTTTCTGGCCAGCAGCTTTGCGTGGACTATTGAAAACCGAGACGAATGCGCCAGGTTGGCCCTATTTCCTCATCGTGGCCCTTGTCGCTGCCATGGCTCGTGATGACGCTTGCAGGAGAAAGGGTTTTCTGTGACACACAGCATGCGGTTGCAACTACCGCTGACAGTGGGAGAATACACACGGCAGGAGCACACGGCAGGAGCACTGGATCTCAAGTCTACACAGACGAAAAACACCGCAAAAAATCTCGCGTCCAGCAACCGCCACACACACACACACACATCTTTTTTTGCAACGCGGAGCCCTGTCTGTGCCTTTGCCTTCAGCTTCAGGTTTCACCCAAAGCCCGCAAGCTTGTTTTGCAGAGGCTTGCCACGCTTCTCGAAGAACAGTCGAAGGGGCCCGGTCCTCTCCAAGAGGAGTTCCGCGAGGCCCACCTCGTTGAAATAGACGTTGGGATTGTCAAGGGACCGGCCCTCTTTAGTGCTCTCAGTGGTGTAGAACACGGGCAAGGCTTGGAGCACCTTCGGATTGGCTTGGAGGCCAGCCAGTGCTTTTTTCGCCTTGTCTTCCACCGAGGGCCACTTGCCCACGAACTCCTGTACATACTTGGTTTGCACGCCAAGAATCAATAGATGGGCGTTTGGGTCCTTCTCCCCAGGCCCTGTCGGCTGCAAGCTTCGAAGCAGCTGTCGGTGATCTTTGCGCGGAACTGTCCATGGCACCAAATACTCGATCCCTTTCTCAGTGCGCTTCTGGGACACCACGATGCTGCCGTACTGTAAGGAGCTCATCACCTCGTCAACGTCGTCAAAGGAATCGAGCTCCACCACCGAGTTCTGTCGGTGCCGCAACCCAGACAGCACGAGCACTTCTCGCAGGCTCTCCGGTTTCAAGCTCGCCCCTGGGAAGAGCTGCTCCAGCGTGCAGCTTTCCTGCTCCAATGCCAAACGCACCGCAGCATCGAAGTGAAGCATGACGGTCTCAAACTTCTTCTCATGCGCGGCCTCAATGACAGCATCCTCTTCAAACATCTTCTTGATCTGGTTTGCCAAGGGCTCACGGTGGCTTTCAGCCCAGCTTTGCAAAATGAGCGGGTGCAAGACTGACTTATGGCCAGAGTTGCCAAACTGCACGGCCTGGACTAAGCCGCGGGAGACAAGGTCGTCCTGTACTCCAGTCGCAATGATCGCACTGGGTGAATACCACTGTCTGACCTCGTCACTCTGCAAGGATTTGCCCTGGTCAAGCTTGGCAAAGCTTATCATTATCATGCGAAATTGGGCCAACGCAAAGGTGGTTTCAGGCACTCCACAGACAGAAAACGCATCCTGTAAAGCATCAAACGTCAAGCGCGGATGGCCAAGGAGCTGTCGCAACAGCTGTCGTCTGCCAGGTGTTTGCTCGAAAGCATTGCGAATCTCCTGAGGTACCCTGTCCAAGGAATCAGGTGGCAAAGCCTTCAAGGAGATCAGTGTCGCAATTTTGCGGCCAGACTGGCTTGCTCGCTCCTTCATGTAGCTCTCGAAGAGCGCTGTCCAAATGAAAATAACAGGAAACTCTCCCGAAATAAGAGATGCGTCTTGGGTGTTCATGAGGGTGGAGATGAAATTGCAGCACGGCTTGGTGCCGCATTTTTGTTCCAGCTGCATGACCTCGTCCACCCCCACCACAAGAAGCTCCTTTGACAATCCCAGCTTCTGCTGCAGAGCCCGCATCACCTTCTTCCATGGAAGGACCGCCGAGCACCATTCAGCGTCATCCCGCCGCATGCCGGCGCTCTGAAGGAGCACCTGTGCGAAGGCATTTTCTGGGCCCTTGCTTGCATCCCATTCGCTGCCTCCATTGAAATCCACGTGCAGTCCGACCTTCGCCCCAGTTTCGTTGAGCCAAGTGGTGCACATCTCATGCAGGAGGCGAGTTTTGCCGATTCCCTTGACGCCGGCCGTCGCCTTCATGCTGCACTTTGGCAGCGTCCCCTGCTCCCAGTGGATTGAATTGGCAACATCCATGACCCCGCGAATGTATTCAAGGAGTTCCCGCTTGGCCTCCGTGCGCCCCAACAATGCAGGTTTCATCGGTGCTGGCCTGCGCACCGTCCAGCTCGACGATAGGATGGCCTGGCAATGTTGCATTTTTCCGCATTTTTGCTGCGTGGTTGCGAAATATTCTTTTTGGCTCTCCGAAACCACCCCCCCGTCCTCGATGGCAGCCTGCTGCCCATCTGCCTGGGAAAGAGGCATCAAGTTGGAGCCTTCGTTTAGGGTCAACTCAACTGCTCGAAGATGTGACAATACTCAAAGTCATAGGGGAACAACATGGGATTTAAGGGCCAGCAGTCCCTGCCTGCAATTGTCAAACAGGCAGCCAGAGACTTCTTTCTGTCACAGAACAGTTCTCGCATGCTTGGGGGAAAGGTGTTGTTGCAAGCGTCTTGCACCCTGCAAATGGGGGCCAAGATCACACCGACTGCAACAACCGCTGGCTCAAACAGTTGCGCGGTTCCTTCCCCGCTGTTTCATGTTTTTGCGAGACGCTGACACTTCATAACAGATCAAAAAGAAGCATTGGGCACTTAATGCAAAAGCCGAGCACTAGGAAAGCAAGGAATACAAGTGATACCAAAACCGAAACAAAACCAACAAACATCCAGCAGGAACATTGCCCATGGACGCAACCATTCGTGGGGCTCCACAGTGAGTCGCATCACGTGCGCCAACACTACAGCCAGCTGAAGCCCAAAAAAATGCGCTGTGCCGTGCCCAAACGCGATCTTGGGATTTCATGGTTCTGTGGATGCGATCACAGCAAAAATACACTGTGCACACTTTAGCAATCTCCTCCATGCTCGTGCTGTCGGAACAAAATTTAACCTTCGGATTGCATTGTGTCTGCAGCAGCAACGACCATGGCAGAAGGGTAGGTCTTGCTCTTCAAAAGGCAGGCGACTGGAACAGCAGGCTCTTCAATATTTGCGGGTTCCCCCTCGACTGTTTGATAGTTTTGCGCTAACCACTCACACCAAATCAGGCAGATATGAACAGGTACGGAGAAAATTGAACAACAGAAGGGGATGGAATGGCAGCAACACGGGCAAAACATCGAGCAAGAACACTGCCAGTGGACGCAAAGCCGGGAATGGTTGAGCTCACATTCATAGAATGAAATTGTGCCTGCAGCAGCAAGGGCCCCAATGATTGCAAAGACATCAGAGTTTGCCCTCCCTCTCCCCGGCAGACGTGCTCTTTCAAAAGCAGGCTGGGGGCAAGCGCAAAATCACTCACAACGATCAACGGCACGTCTCAATCAATGTCGACCAGCAGGAATGACCGACCCCCAACGAGGAAAGGCAACCATCCGTTCATGGGGGGCTCCATACCGAGCCTGCCAACGACACGAACCGCCGCAATCTGCAAAAATGCTATCTTGGGATTTCCTGGTTCTCTGGATGCGATCAGGGCAGCCCCACCAAAACCATGTGCGGGCCGCGCGGGGAATTTCAGAACCGCACGCAACGATCAGAGTCCCAGAACGCAGCCGGCCGGCGGAAGCGACCGACTCCGCCCGCCTCGGACTCCTTCGTCCGGCCGCTTGCCTTCGCCGCCTGCACCTCCTTCTTCGCCCTCTCCACCTTCCTCTCCGCCTTCTCCACCTTCCTCTCCGCCTTCTCCACCTCCTCCTTGGCCTCCTTGACCTCCTCCTTGGCCTCCTTGACCTCCTCCTTGGCCTCCTTGACCTCCTCCTTGGCCTCCTTGACCTCCTCCTTGGCCTCCTGCACCTTTGTCGCATTGCCCGAGTCCTCCGCCGTCTCCAAGACGGTGGCAGCTCGAGCGAGACGCCTCACCGCCATCGCTTCCTGCTCCTGGGCGCTCTCAACCTGCCGCTGGGCGCTCTCAACCTGCCGCTGAGCGCTTTCAACCTGCCGCTGGGCAGTCTCAACCTGCCGCTGGGCGCTCGCTTGCTGCTGTCGCGCCAGGAGCAGGTCCTGCCCAGCAAGACTCACACGCCGAGCAGCAGTGCGCTCGGACGGACGGCCTCTTCCAAGGCCTTTAGGGCTGCCTCGACAAACATGCAGCACACAGAATGTCACGAAAGCGCTTGTGAATCTGACCTGTTGGTAAAACAAGCAAACACTCCTGCCTCTGCCACAAACTTCTTTAGCTGCTGCTTTAACTCAGGCTTAGTCGCCAAATCATTCCACTTCCCTGGATCTGTCAGCTGCACTTTTCCTGAGCTCAAAATTTCACCACGCCTGCTGCAACCAATGTGCTGCTAAAGCGGCGCATGACCACTTGCATGTCTTTCAGCGTGCCGTTGTCCACAACCCGTTTGGCTTCTGCGACCACCTGAGCGAGACAAGGCTGGGACGTCGCTTTCTCTGAAGGCCCGCCGCCTCCTCGAGATCGAGCCGGTCCTGACAACCAACAAGCCCAACGTTCAAGCCCGATGCACGTGTCCCCCAGGCCTGGCCACTGTTGTCCTGGCGGCAACCGGCAAAAGATGCGAACAGGCTTCGGGTCGGAGGAGTCCTCTTGCGCAGCCCCGGCGCGCCGAGCGACTCCGGCATGCAACGGGTGCCGTTTTGCCTGAAAGAGCCAAAGTGCAATCTGCTTGCGCCTGCGGGCAACTCTGAGAACTGGGCCAACATGCTGTCCTGGCACTCAGCACGAAACAAGAACATCCAAAGGAGGGACTTCATGCTCCTTCAGCCCAGGAACTCCTCGAGCAAAGTCCTGGGCGCCGGCGACAAGGGACTCCTGAAACCCGAAAACCTTCGAAAAACATGTGTCCCAAGACCCAGGCCGTGCTCGGCTGCACGAGCAGCGCCAATGCAATCCCGAGAAGGCAGAGGCACATACCTGGCCGCTGCCTACCGCGGGCACGGTAGCGTCACAAGCTTGCCAGCCTCGGCTTTTGGTCCTGGTCCGCATCATCGCCATGGCTATTCGAAAAGCGCTTGAGCGGCCTGCGATTCCTCAAGCACTGGCACTAGACCCATCGGGCAACCATTGCGAGCTGTTGTTGTGTCAGTGTTGATGAGTACCCTCGAGCCAAGTTTCCAGAGCAAACACAAGATTGACTGGCTTCTTTGGCAACACCAACGCACGGGTTTGGATGCTCCTCCTCCTTTTCACTCGCGGCCTGAAGGTCGGTCGGGCCAAGCCTTGCAAGGCTTCGCAGCGTCCATCCGTCAGACTGGCTGACCCACATCCTGCCGCTGCATCAAAGTCCAAGCGAGATACCAAACTGGCCTGCCTGCAAAACAAGCAGCCGAAATCGGCACCGGGCCGCCAGGGGCTGAAGGGCGGGGGTTTCTGGGGTCCTGGGATCACTGGGGCCTCTGGGGTCCCTGATTCCCTAGGGTCCCTACATTCCCTAGGGTCCCTCCTAAGGTCCCTAGGGTCCCTAGAGTCCCTGGGGTCCCTGCACACGTGTGCATCAGACGTCTCGCCAAGGCCCCAGAGTGCGCTCATCCCTGTCAACGCACGGCGGGTTCAGGGACCTTGGGGACCTTAGGGACCTTAGGGACCTTAGGGACCTTAAAGACCTTAGGGACCCCAGCAACCCTGCAAACCCTACCCTAGGGACCCTAGGGACTCCGAGGACTTCAGGGACCCAGCGACCCAGGGACTTCAAGAGATCCTTGGTGGCCCCAAGGATTTTGGGGCTTGAAGGGATCTTGGCAAGAACTTCACGCCGGGTACCACTCAGCCTGGGCATTCTCCAGCATCAAAGGGTCATGCAAAAACACAAAATGCCGAAGCCAAGACACACACACACACATTGCAAATGGGCCACAACACCACAACATCATCTCCCAACTACAAACACGGATGTAGAAAACACCATGTAGAGACATACCAACATAAAGGCACAAAGACATAAAGATATAAAGATATAAAGAGAAAGGTATAAAGATACAAAGATATAAAGATATGAATTTGTAGAAATACAAAGATATAAATATATGAAAATTCATAAAGAGATACAAATACGTAGAGATATGAAGATAAAAATGTATGAAAATAAATAGATATGAGTACACGAAGATAAATAGATGTATGGCAAGTTGCTCGAATGGAAAAACAACAGAAGCTTTGCCCTTCCGCGCGTCTTTGTGGCAAGCTGCAACCAACCGAAGCTTGAGAGATGACTTCACACTTCACGGGATCTCTTGCCCCCAAGACCCAGGGTTGCTGGGGTCCCTGAGGTCCCTGGGGTCCCTAAGGTCCCTTAGGGTCCCTAGGGTCCGTAAGGTTTCTGGGGTCCCTAAAATCCCTGAAAACGCCGTGTGTTGACAAGGATGGATGCACTTTGGGACCCTGGCGAGACGTCTTGATGGAAGGACGTTGTTTCATGGCACCCGCGTGCCCAGGGACCCAGGGACCCCAGGGACCCTAGGGACCCCAGGGACCCTCACTGGGTCAAAGATCAAGGGGGCTGACAGATTGGTGACAAAGATCAAATGACAATAACCTGCACTGGACCTCTTGGCCATGACAATGGAACGCGGCGAGGGCCCGGGCGGAACGTGGAGCTCGAGGCGCAAGCTCAAAAGTTCGGAGTGCCTGAGCGCCAGGAAAAAAAAGCGATTTTGAGGAAACCACACTGCCTGACTTACAAAAAACCTGACAGTACGACTTGACGGGGTTGGGGCAATCGCTCTCAAGGTCAAGGGTTCACCAGGTTGGAGAGACAATACAAAATGCGGGCCTGGCTCAACGAGGTCACGATTTCCAAAGATACACGGGCCTGACGGCGCGGCTTGACGGGGTTGGGAAAAGCACACAAAAAAGCAACGCAAACCACTTGGGCCTCACCGGTTGGGCCCAACCCTGAAAGCTCAGTTGAAATCCGCGCATCAACACTGACGGCGCAATCAGCAAAAAGGCCCAGGCAGAACGTCTTCGAAGTCGCGCAAATCCTGGCACGGGACGGGGGGGGGTGTCCGGGCCTCGCTAGGCCAAAGATCAGGGGGCCTGACAGATTGGCGAGTTGGGACCCAAACCTCAAAGATCAGTTGGCATTGATGGCCATGACAACGGAAGCAGCGAAGGCTCGGGCAGTATGCCCCGATGTCAAAACAAAGCCTGGCACGCGAAAACACGACCTTCAAAATCCAGGACCAAACCTGAAACACTGCTCAAAGGCCGAGTTGACACCAATCCGCACAGGTGCCCAGCCAAAGAGTCCCCAGTAGCACGAATTGGATCCACCTGCAAGCGGCCAACAAAAAGTGACAAAAAGGCAACTCGCGCGGCGCTGCGAGAAGATCTGCACGTCGAAGTCTGGGCACAGGGCACGTGAGGTCAAGAAAAACTGTGAGTCTGAAACCACGCCTTTGCACCCGCGAGCGGTTCCCTGCCGCCCGTACCCCAGAGTGTCCCCGAATCTCGCCTTCACAAGGCTCACGTGCTTGGGGAAGCTCTTTCCAAACACGACCGACAACGTGAAAATCGTGAGAAAAACGCAACACCGGCAACCTGTCATGCAAAATCACGCCCAAAAACCATGCAAAACTGAATTTACGGAAAAACAAACAAAAACGTGTTTTTTTTCCGGAAATGGCGGCCCTCGAGCCGCTTGAGCCAGGGCCGTCCCTTTGGTCGGACCATTTTGTTGTCCGCCCTATAGGAAAAGGACCGGCAAGCAAAAGTCCCGAACCATCGCCACTAGCTTCGCCCTGGGCGAGGTGCACACGAGCCCCAAGGGCGCCATCGTCTGGCAGTCCGCGTGGACTCACGTCCTCTGGAGCCCAGCAGCTTCGGCGAGGACCAAGGACCCAGGCAGAACGCCTGCCTTGCGATGGAAACGGATTCCGAGGTCTGGGCGGCCTGGGAGGAATTCGAGAAGCTGTCTTCGCGGTCGAGCCGCATTTGGGGCGACTACGGCGATGTGAAGGACAGGTGGCAGAGCTGCCTCAAGGAGTCCCGACAGGGAGCGACCTTCCTGAAGTGCAAACTGGACGCGCGGAACAAGGCTGACAGGCTGCGTGCGCGTCAAGGCCTGGCAGGTCTGGATTATGGGCAAGCAATGCGGCCTGGTGGAGGTCCGCGACCTGCAGGTGAACCCCGGCACGGGCGGGGACTCTTGCCCCTTCTAAAACTGCGTTCTGTTTATCGTGGATGTCAGACGTAAGCGAACGCGCCCGTAACTGACCCCGCGAGGCCCCGGGGCACCCAGGGTTAGGGGGCCTAGCAGACTTGGGGGGCCGGTTCGGCAGCAGGCTCAGCTCCTCAGCTCGTGCTGGTTGAGCCTCCAGCAGCAGAGCAATTGCATGTTCACACCAGCGCTGATGGCCTCAGCTTCTGGAGCTCACCCAGGTGCTAATCTGCATGTGACGGCCTCGGATGAAGAGCGTGTCAAGGGCGCCGTGCGGCTTGTGGAGCTGCGGCGTGTCAGCAAAGTCGTCGATGACTGGTACAGTTTCTTCATTTCCAACTTCTTGGAGTGATCTTGCGCTGCTGCTGGATGATGCGCCGCAAGGCGGACTCATCCCACTCGTCCCAGTAAGCCTGCTCACGCTCCGTGTTCACCCCCAGGTCCTGCTCGATGTACTTCTTGACGGGGATCCAGCCATCATCGATGTTGACGCTTGGGCTGAAAACGTAGATCCGCTCAAACACGCCCTTGTACTGCTCCAGGATGAGACTGATGAGCGCCACAGTTTTGCCCGACTTGCTGGGCCCAAGGAAGATGCCCGTGCATGGCACCAGGGGCACCACGGGGTCCGAGGCTTGCTTGCTGGTGTACTCAGGCGTGGGGAAAAGCTTGATCTTCCCCATTCGTCCTTTTGCGTTACGCAAGTTCCGGAAGCCGGCAGCTGAAGTACCGTGGAGGCCCCTGCTGCAGCGGCGACGTTTTTGCATTTAGCTACAGACCCAAAACTTGGCCCGGGCAAAGAGAGGTTGTCATTGAACGTTCTCCCTTCACTAGAAATTGCAAGACCCACGCGCGTGTTGGAACACGCGCCACCGCCCCCCCTCCACCCCCGACTTTCAATGTTGCATGGAACACGTGCGAAGGCAACTTTTACACTCGCCTGAGACTTTTACACTCGCCTGAGACACAACATTGAAATTCGGGGAGCGGGGGGCTCAAGACTAGACTTGTCAACCACCCGCCTGCCACAGCGCCTCAAGACTCGCCAACAACGCACGGGCGCCAACTTTCTTTAATCGTTATCTAGTCGTCATCTAGTCGTTATTCTAGTCGTTATTCTAGTCGTTATTCTAGTCGTAATTCCACGAAACCACGTAAAACACAATTATTCATGAACTGGCTCTGGCTTGAAAGGAAAATGCCTTTCTTATCTCTCAATATATTTTTGGATTACCGACTAGGAAACGCTTGAGGCTTCCGAATTCACGACTAGAATAACGACTACAAAACGATTAGAATAACGACTAGAATTGCGACGATGCCCGACTGCAGGCAAACTGCGGCCCATTCTCGCGCTGCGCCGGACGCCACACGAGCGGCCCTGAATCTCGGGCCGCGCAAAGGCTTGAAAATCGCCACACAGGCGGGGCCTCGCCAGTATACGTGGCCTATCTGCGGCTGCCCTAACCCTGTTGCCGGAGGATTGACGGAGACGCAACCCACATGCAGCAAATGAGCTCTGAGTTACCGTTGCGCTTAGAAAGCATTTATCATGCTTTTCGAGCCACAAAGCTCCGCAACAGAAACGCACTTACAAGCCAGAAACAGCACTTTAAGCCCGGGCAACTTAAACTTCTGAGACGCACAGAATGCGACTAGGACCCGTTTTGCCTGCATATTGAAGCAGGCGGAAAACCCTTGCAGAGTGCAAGCAGAAGGGCTGTGGCCGCACCGCGCAAAACCAACAAATTTTCGCAGAATCCACATTTGCTGAATAATAACCTCTGAAGATGCGCTGTGAGCGGTTTTAGATTTCACAAATAACAGAGAGAGCGCACCGGATGGCGGGCATCCCACCTGCAGCCCTCAAGGACGAGCTCACGACCACTCGGACGCACATGGCGCGCCCCCCAACCGTGGAAGGATGCTGTCAGGGATCGGAAGCACCCCGAGCCAACGCTGGGGCGAGTTTGATGTGCCAGAAGGGTCTCGACCCCTGGGGCGCCTGATTCCGGACGTGATCTTTGTGAGGGAATGCCTCGTGCAGTACCACCCCTCTTCGAACAAAGCCCAGCACCTGCGGCGAGATCGAGGAGGCCCTTGCGATCCGGCTGCAGGTGGAGCCGAGCAAGGCTCGGAGCTCCTGAGGTCCTCGAACTGCAGACGGGTACGCCCTTGTCGCACGCGGAGGGCGCTGCAAGACCTCCGTCAACGTCTACAAGCTCGTCCCTTTGTGGCGGTGAGTTTCCACAGAATCCGTACAGACCCAAATCCGTACAGAGAGCTCAGAAGAAGCCCGCGAGAGCCAGGGGGACTACGAGATCTGCGAGGAGGGTGGGGAGACTGCTTCCGAGAGAAAAACAACGCCTGGTGCTCTTGCGAATCCAGCAGCCTTGTAGGAACTTATAGGAACCTATATAGAAAACCTATAGGAATCCCATAGGAAACCCGTAAAAGCCTGTAGGAACAGGGCAAGAGAAGGAAGATGAGTCTTCCTACAATTTTTTTGATTCCTACATGTTTCCTACAAGCTCTCTCTTTAGAGGGGGTTTTCCAAATGGCTTATATTGTACCTGAGAGGCTTCTAGCACTCGTCCGTCCAGCATTTGACCTCGTCCTGCGAAGGATTCGAAGTCTAAAACGCTGCGTGGAGGCGTGTGGCTGCAAAATAGAGACCCCTAGATATGCTTGCAATTTGGCTCCAGGTTGCATTTCAAGCG